AAAAAGCTTCAGAAAAGGAGTGACCCTTTTTTTCAGGACCAGACAGATGAGTAGAGGTTTGTCATGGGAAGGCAGGAGAGAAGGGCATTCCATGCAGATTAAAGTCATGATGTGCTTTTCAGCCCATTCGGTCACGTTTCCCAGCTCCTACCAGACCAGGCACTTTGCTGGTGCAGGAGTAGACAGCAGGCTGGTTTGGCTGGACATGGAGCATGGGGGGCAGGAGGTAAGCAGGGTGGAATGGGAGGTGAGCTGTCAGCACAGGTAAAGGACCTTCTGAAACTGGCTAAGGAGCTGTCCCTTTATCCTGGAAACCAAGAGAGGCCTCAGACAGGTTTCAGGCAGGGTGTGCTGGAGTTAAATGTGTTCTAAAGGAGGACAATCTCTGTGACAGATATGCAGTGATTCATAGGGTATATCCTTAACTGAAAAAACAATGTGCAAATGACAATCTGCACTGTGCCACGTTTTGTGTAAAAAAAAAGAAGGGGAAATAAAATATCTATGTAAATGCTCAGTTATGCAAAACTAAACCCAGGAGGAGTCAACTGGAAACTATTGAGTGAGTGGGAATGAAGTGTAAAGGAGACAGATGAGGACCGTGCAAAGGGAACACTGGAGAGCAATGTCTCTTTGAGTGTGCCTTTTTATATAATTATGACATTTGGAACTATACTAAACAAGAAGCCATAGGGGGCCGGTGCCACGGCTCAATAGGCTAATCCTCTGCCTAGCGGCACCGGCACACTGGGTTCTAGTAGTCCTGGTCGGGGCGCCGGATTGGGAGACCAGGATAAGCACCTGGCTCCTGCCTTCGGATCAGCGCGGTGTGCCGACCGCAGCGGCCATTGGAGGGTGAACCAATGGCAAAAGGAAGACCTTTCTCTCTGTCTCTCTCTCTCTCACTGTCCACTCTGCCTGTAAAAAAAAAAAAAAAAGAGAGAGAGAGAGACAGAGAGAGAAGCCATGGGGATGGAGAAAAACTCTAAAGTGAATTTGAAACAGGATCGCATGGGAGTGGGAATGAATGAACCTAAGTAATTTTTGAAAATAGTATTTGGGGGCTTGCGCCGCAGCTCACTAGGTTGATCCTCCGCCTGCAGCGCTGGCACCCCAGGTTCTAGTCCCGGTCGGGGCACCGGATTCTGTTCTGGTTGCTCATCTTCAAGTCCAGCTCTCTGCTGTGGCCCAGGAAGTCCTTGGGCCCTGCACCTGCATGGGAGACCAGGAAGAAGCACCTGGCTCCTGGCTTCCGATCAGCACAGTGCGCCGGCCATGGCGGCCATTTGGGGGGTGAACCAATGGAAAAAAGGAAGACCTTTCTGTCTGTCTCTCTCTCTCTCTCACTGTCTAACTCTGCCTGTCAGAAAGAAAGAAAGAAAGAAAAGAGAGAAAGAAAGAAAGAAAAGAGAAAGAGAGAAAGAAGAGAAAGAAAAGAAAGAAAATAGTATTTGGGAGAATTTGCTGTTAGCTAGAAACAAGAACTGTAAAACAAATGGAGAACTCTATTTTGTTCTTCACAAGAGTGTGTACTAGCAATTCCGAAACTATTTTCTGTGTATTTTAAGATTGAGCAAATAAATATATTGTAGATAATAAAACAAAGTCTGCTGGAGAAGGATTTAGAAGTATGGAATGAGTGGTAGGCTTAAATTGACATTGTAGTGTTAAACTGGAGATGGAGGTATGAGTATGAACTCGGGTGTTAACACAGACAACTGGGTGGATAATTGGATGATGGATGGAGGGAGTGAGACAGAGAGACAGACAGGCAAAGATGAGGTGTGTGCATATATGCCTGCATGTATTTCTTAGTTCTCTCTCTGATAGGGCCTAGAAGTAATGATACCCCAGTAGCAAAGAGCATAACTAGTGTTCAAACCTTGGCTTCAAATACCATTCTCCACTAAAAGAAATCAAGAGTCTTTAGAGAAATGACTGACTCCACGACTGGAGCTGAAGAAGTACAAGATGAACCTGAAACATTTTGTAATGTCAGAAAGTAATAATTCTTCATAGAATGAAGGGGGTGTGTCTAAAGAGCAAAGAACCACCTTGAATGAGCTTCTACTAATCAAATCTGGGATGACTTGAGAATCAAAACAAAGAAGGCAGTAATGGATTATAACCCACTGAATAGAATATTAAATATACACTATATATTAGTGGAATATGCATTTACCTAGTTTTTATTTATATAATATCTGTATTTATAATATATATGTGTCCATTTGAATGTAAAAAGGAAAAGGAAAAGCTCTTCCTTTCAGTAGACTCCCAACTAATATAGAAGGAATGATAGAATTAAAAGCAATAGTTAATCCAGGCAGCAATGATCAGTGGAGCCTAAGCTAGTGGGTCAAGCGTTGTTGAGTAGTTGCTAGATGACAGCAACCTGAAGCAGGGTGAGGTCAGGCTGAGCAGCCTACAACACAGCCTGGATGCCTTTCACCCACTGCTTAGGCCATGTTGCTAAGTTGTATCTGCAATAGGGTAATAACACCATGACAGGCACCGTGCTTGGTGTGGATTTTGGGTTTGTTTGTTTTTTTTCCTATTTCTTGCATGTGTTAATTCACTTAATCCTAACATCAACCCAGTGAGCTTTCTCATTAGTACATTTTTAAGAGGAAGAAATCAAAATTCAAGAAATGAAATATTTGTCTAGGATCAAATAACTCATAAGAGACAGAGCCCAGCTTCAAATTCCCTGCCTTCTGGTCTTGAGTTCAAGGTTGTTCTATCATTCGGTGGGTCTCTGGGTCCTCTCAAAGCGTGCAGGGTGACTAGGTCTGAGGGACTTTCTCAAACAGAAACCCCACAGCTGCTTCTTTCTCCCTGCTATATTTCCTAAGCACTCAGCCTCATTCCCTTCATCCAGGGAGTAGGAGCTGCAGCACTTAACTCCCGTGGCTGTTACGAGGACTAAATTGGGTAATGTGCGTAAAGCACATAGCACGGTGCAAAGTAAGTGTTCACTAAATGACAGCTGCGGTGGTGGTAATTGTAGCTGTTGATGCTGAATTCCGCGGTTTGATGGAAAACGCTTCTAAGGGACACCTCTTGCTTTTGGACTGAGTTGATAATCAGGGGCCAGATCATAAAGTGCTTTGTGTATCGTGAATAGAAGATTGCATCTTATTCTGCAGGGGGGAAACAACTGAAGAGCTTTATTACTGGTTGGCAATTCAGATCAAGTGGGGGAGAGAAAATGCCAAGGCAGGGAGACCAGCGGGGGGAGATGATGAGGGTCGGAGTTACCTAATGGTCTGGTGCGAGGGAGCAGAGGGAGCACAGACTGGTCCTGGGGTTGCAGGAGCTTTGGCTGAGCCTGCCAGGGCACGATCAGAACACGGAGGAGTGGGTTGTGGGCACATACCAGGTGCTGGCTTGGGATGGCTGGGTGCACACAAGGGAAGCACAGTAGACTTAGCAGCAGAATGTGCAGATCTGGACTGAGGATTCTAAACATTCAGATTCAGGTGGAGGCCAGGGCTCGGGCCTGGAGCACTGAGCCTGGGAGTGAGTGAAGCCAGGCAGGGGAAGGCGTGAGAGGAGGTGGCTGAGGATAGGATTTTGGAAACAGCAGTATTCACAGATGGCAGAAGAGGAAGCCAAAGGAGACTGAGGAGGGGCACTCAGCAAGATAAGAGAGGTTCATGGAGGGAGGTTTGTGCCACAGCAAAGGCTGCAGAAAGAGCAGCTGAAGCAGAGACGGACTGAGCAGTGCTGGTGACCATGGCAGGAGCAGGTTGCTAGGCACTGGTGTACACAGGGGAGAACTGGACTCCTTAAGGGGAGAAACCAGAACTTGAATACTCCCAAGAATATAGGCAGCTCCCTCCCTGGCCACAGAATCCCACCCACGTCCTGAGCTCTGTGGGGTGGAAGGCCTTCCTCACAGAGCACATTCCAGCACCTTCCCTCCCCTCTGGGGCAGCCCTGCCGGCCCACATCACCAAGCCTGTAGCCTCGTCCATGGGACTTATCCAAATGTGCCTCCCCCTGGCCATCTCTACAGCATGGCTCAGGTGCTCCTGGCTCCCAGAGCTGCCTTGACAGGTGCCCAGAATGCATCCCATTTTGGTAAAACAACTTGTTCCTTGGCAGCATCAGAGCCTGTGTTCCAGTTCCTCTTCATATCTCCTCCCACTAGTTCGGTGACTTTGCTTTCCAACCTTTGTTCACCTCAACTCAAAATAAGAAATATATTTTGTAAATGTTCGGCACACACTGACATGTAACTGAAAGAAAAGTCACAGGCAACAACACTCAAGCTCTCTAACATTGTCAATCCCATTCTATCTTATTCTGCTGCATGCTTTTAAATGCTGGTCCTGACCCCTGATACTAATTTCACATCCTACAAAATGGACTGGGTGACCAATGGTATGAAACATACCTGCTAGCTGTGCGAGTGTTTGTCTGAATGCAACCCCCTTCCCCTCCCTCAGTATCCTCCACACTGGCTGCCATCCCAGCTCCTATTTATGGCTCTGAGGGGACAGAGAACAAATGGTTCAGTCACTAGATGTCAGCCAGCCTTGGAAGTTATTGAAGCTCCCAAGTGGCTCACCAGAGAGAGGGAAGCAGCTGTCATTTGGAAGTCAGTGGAGGAGAGAATGGCCCTCCTTCCAAGTCACCCCATATAAGCTGCTGTCCCTCAGATCACTCAGAGGCAGCCAACAGCCTATGGCGTTTTCACACCCCGAGGATGCCCTTAGGAACCCCCGACACTACCTCTGGCAAGACACTTAAAAATTCCCCGAGTTCAAAAGTGCCCCAACTTGTGCACTCAGCCACCGGGTTTGCCACCCCAGCTGACAGTTACCTGTAGCCGCACTGGTCTGGTTGCTCTGGCTGCCCCTTCAGACCTGGCTGAGGGACATGGGCATCCTTCCCTGTGACCCGTTGAACCATTGCCCTTGTACATCTTGCAGCTAGAGAACATTTGGGGGTTTTACAAAGTTCTGCTTACAGTGTCTTTTGTTTCTACCTAGGACGAGCCAGGGCTTCTGGATCTACGTTGACCGCAGACAGGAGGATGTTGCCTAAGGAATAGCACGAGAGTTTCCACACGTGCTGAGACTGGCCAGCTGCTGCCATGGACACGTGGGTCCTCTGAGCTGTCTCCTGACTGCACACCTGTGATGAGCCAGGCCCTGGGCCAGACCTCTGCCTCCCCCTGGTGAACAGAACTCCATCCCTGGCCTCCAGGCGTTCACCCCCACAGTGCAAATATGAGTGAAGAACGGTGGGTCTCTCTTACTCCGGAAGAATTTGACCAGCTCCAGAAGTACTCAGAATGTGAGTACATGGATTGACGGTCCTGGGATGGGATTTCTTCCTGGTCAAGGAGATGGTTTCTGGATGGCAGGGCAGTATCATCATTGCAAAGCCCCAGGGACCAGGTTGGACCTGATGGCTTCTATGTAAACACAGAATCAGTGTCTGTAAGGTCAAAGCACAGTTAGCTTTAGGCTCCATAAAGACCACATGCTCACCATAGAAGCTTGGAACGCAAGGTACTTGGAAGGAGATAGAATAGGTTAGGAATTGCCAGTAAACTCTGTGGCCATTTTAAAGCACTCCCCTTCTGGGCACCTTGCTCTACATGGTGGAGTTTGCACTGTGTACACCATTCTGATGCTTGCACCATCCACCTAACCTGGTCAGAAGTGTTTTACTTCTTTATGACAGAATTTTGAGGAGCTGCAGGCAGACAGGTTACAACATTGCTTAATTATTTGCTATAATAGACTCCTGCATTTGAACTCAAGCCTGTGTTCAGTGAGAAACTGAATTCTGCATCTCTTTGGCGACTTTGTGCTGGAAAGCCCAGGCTTTCACTTGGGGCTTTGGTTTCCCGTTGGTTGTGCCCAGGACCTGAGTCAGTGAGTCCTGGGAGTAAGGTCCATCCATGCTCACACACGAGCCACTCCTGATCCTGACTGGGGGCAGGGGTCGGCTTGCTCTGCGATGGACCCACACCTGACCACTGCACTCTGTGCACGCAGAGAACCATCATTCGTGGTGCAGAGCTCTCAGCCTCGCTGTCTACCCCACTCCCTGCTCTCAGTGCCTCTCCCTCCATGGTTGTTGTACTGGTGCTTTTGTATGTCATGACGCCTATAGTGTGTCAGCCTTTCCTACTGAACTCACCCGAGTCCCCTCCACCTGCCCTCCCTGTGAGCACAGCACTGGTGCAGGGGGCTCAAGTGCAGGCTCTGCCTCTTGCTGCTGTCTGATGTGACAGCCCTGACCCTGCTGGGCCTTACCCGTCTTCTGTGCAGTGAGAGGGTTGGACCAAGTGTTCTCTCCCTGTGGTCCCTTCCAGCACTAATGCCCTGTAACCCTGTGTGCTCCCCAAGGTCAACAGATGACCCATGTGTTACCTGGGGTAATAGTTACCTGTCAATTTCCTTCCCGACACCCTGGAGCTGTGTTTTCTTGTCTGACCTGCAAGGTTTACAGAAACTCTCTGATGTATTGACAAGCAGCAAGCAGTCGCCCTGCAGGGTAAATTCAATTTAATTCAGCCTGCTCTGTAGGTCTGCAAAGTACCAGGCCCTGTCAGGGCTGAAAAAGAAGCACAAAGACAAGATTCCTACCCTTGAGGAACCCGAATCTTGTTAGGGAGTCAGGAATGTGCTTGTGACACCAGCAGAGAGCAGCAGGCAGACAGCTCCAGTAGCGTGGACCAACTGGGCGTATCGATGAGAAGGGAGAGCAGGCCGGGAGGGTGTGGGGCTTCCCTAGGCTGCTGGCACAGCGCTGCGGCATGAGTGGATTCAGCCACATACCTGTTGTCGCAAAGTTCTAGAGGCAAGAAGTCCAAACTCCGTGAGATGACTTCCTTTTGAGGGCTGTGCAGGACAGACTTGTTCCAGGCCTGTCTCCTTGGCTCATAGAGGAGTGTGTGCCCCTGAGTGCGAGTCTCTAAATTCCCCCTTTTCCTAAGGACGCAGTGTTGTTAGATTGGACCCATCCTCCTCCAGCATAGCCTCATCTTGACCAATTACATCTGTAGTAACTTGGTATGAGGTCACATTCTGAGGTCCTGGAGTGAGCACTTGAACATGTGACTCTGGCAGGAGGGTGCACCATTGAAGCTGTCACAGAGGACTTAGCTGGGTGAACTCTATGAAGGAAAGAGGTTTAGAATCTGGGTAGTAGGGACTAGCGCTGTGGCGTAGCGGGTTAAGCCACCACCTGCAGCACTGGCATCCCATATGAGTGCTGATTAAAGTCCCTGGTGCTCCACTTCCCATCCAGCTCCCTGTTAATGCATCTAAGAAAGCAGCGGAGGATGGCCCAAGTGCTTGGGTCCCTGCCTTTCATGTGGGAGACCCAGAGGAAGCTCCTGGCTCCTGGCTTCAGCTTAGCCCAACCCCCAGCTGTTGCAGCCATTTGGGGAGTGAACCAACGATTGAAAGTTCTCTCTCTCTCTCTCTCATTCTCTCTATTTTTCCCTCTCTTAAACTATTCCTTTCAAGTAAATAAATAAGTCTTTAAAAATAAAATGGGGTAGTGGTTGGGGGAGGGAGACAATGGAAGGAAAGGAAGAGGGTCCCACCAAGAGAGGGTGGGGAAGAGGGCTCCTGGGCTGGGTGCAGAGACACAGCAGGGAATCGGGAGAAGGATGCAGGCAGGATGGGGACAGCAGGATTCTTGAGCTTAGCACGTCAAGGTGTGGGCCTTCAGCCAAGCTGGCAGAGTCTAGGGCTGCTGATCTGGGCAGGGTGCTAGGAACAAGCAGGATCCTGTGGCTGAAATCTAGTCTGAGCTCAGGAGTGAGGGTAGGATGTGGAGCATGGCAATGAACAAATGCTGATTTGTGGGAAATTGTAGTAGATGTCTCAGCAAAGCCTATAGAACAAAAGAAAGCCATCTCAAGGACTGACTCTGTACAAGATGGGAACATTGAGATGCGGGGCTGGTGGGCACAGCTTGGGAAGGTTGGTTTTGAGCTAATCATGACAAGTCCACTTGCGCATTCACATGTCCCAGCCTTCAGGAAACCAGCAGTGAATGAGACACAATGCCTGTCCCCAGAGAGCTCACAGCCTGGAGTGGGGAAAAGACAGACAGGATTCAAACAATGTTGTCGCAGCACGGCAGCTGCTTAAGAAGTGGGGTGCCTGGGGCGAAGGCCTCGCTCAGCCTGGCAGGAGCCTTCCTACAGCACCTCCCACCAGGAATGGTTGTTCCCAGACTGCAGACACGGGTACCCCGGGTGGAGGAGGTGGCTTGGGCAAAGGCAGGGAAGTGAGAAACACATCCTGGGAGCTGCCGAGACCCTCAAGCAGTCACAGGTGAGGAGTCTGGAGCGCGAGCTGATGAATGGCAGGGGGCAGGCAGTTGTAGAAGTGGAGAGGCCAGCAGGACCCCTCCATGGAGGGTCTGCGTTCTAAGTGAGGTCCCCTGTGGGCCCCTGGAATGCATGTGGTGGGCAGGGAGTGGCTGTGTGGGGCTAGGCTGCAGCTCTGACTTGGGAATCATGTGTGGACACAGCGGGGGAAGAAAAAAGTAAGAGTGAAGGGAGCAAGTGTGTTAGGAGAGAGGGGAGGATGCTGAATGGGGCTCGGTGGGCACTCGGGGACCGTAACTGAGCCAGAAGAAGACAGCAAGGAGAAGCCAGAAGGGCCAGAAAAGTCCCAGATGCAGGGAGCGGAGGGAAAGGAAACGCAGGCTCCCATGACGCGTGGGCTGAGAGGCAGAGGATGGGCAGCACCAGGGGTGCTGTCAGGACAGCTTCCTCTGTGGTTGGGCCTTTGCTTCACCCACCATTCTGTCCTCCTGTGACTTCTCCTCCTGCTCTCTGCATCCCAGGGCTGGACGAGGTGCTCTGGTCCTGTTCTCACAGGAGAGGAAAACGAGATGATTCTTGGAAAATGATTAATCCTCAGAGGAAACCCTGAAAAAGCCCCTTCCACCAATTTAGATGCACTCTGGTGTTCCGATTGCATTGCCATAGCAACCACTCTTCCATAACTGCATAAACAGGGGTTTGACAATGGAGAAATAATGAAGTATACAACCTGAGAATTGGATTACCAGGTGGGAAACGCTCCGGTGTGTTCCATGTGTACTGGGCACAATCAGAACCTTCTAGATGATCTGCTAGGGGAAAGAACCCATTGTAAAACTGCTCTCAGAGACATGCACAGTTATTTTACATATGCGTGTGTACCTATGCATGCATGCACACACACACACACACACATACACACACATGGCTTCAAAGCATTCATGGAAAATTAACATTATCCTTTGCTTCAATTTTTCTAAGACCTTTTAGAAGTTCCTTCATGTAGTTGATAATGTCATGTGAACCAACCGTGTAAAGTGCTCATCATAAAAAACTAATGCTGGGATCAACATTGTAGCAAAGCAAGTTAAGCTGCTGCCTGGGACACTGGCATCCCATATGGGTGCCAGTTCGTGTCCCGGCTGCTCCACTTCTGATCCAGCTCCCTGCAAATTCACCTGGGAAAGCAGTGAAAGATGGCCCAAGTGTTTGGGCCCCTGCACCCAGCCTTCAGGACAGCCCTAGCCATTGTGTCTGGGGAGTGAACCAACGGATGGGAGATCTCTCTGTGTCTCTTCCTCTCTCTCTGTAACTCGGCCTTTCAAATAAATAAATAAATAAAAACTAATGCCACATTAAGAATTTGTTATAAAATAACAGCAAAGCAGGCTGGTTCCATGGCTCACTTGGCTAATCCTCCACCTGCGGTGCCGGCATCCTGTATGGGCACCAGGTTCTGGTCTCAGTTGCTCCTCTCTGCTGTGGCCTGGGAGGGCAGTGGAGGGTGGTCCAAGTGCTTGGGCCCCTGCACCTGCATGGGAGACCAGGAAGAGGCACCTGGCTCCTGGCTTCGGAATGGTACAGTTCTGGCCATAGCAGCCATTTGGGGAGTGAACCAATGGAAAAGGAAGACCTTTCTCTCTGTCTCTCTCTCTTTCTCTCACTGTCTAACTCTGCCTGCCAAAAACAAACACACAAACAAACAAACTTTGGATCTGTGGGTGAGAACAGCAACCATTTGTTTTTCCCATGATCTGTGGACCAGGAATCAGGACAGGACACAGCCGGCAGGACTGGTCTCAGCTACAGTGTCCAGACTCCAGATGGGAGGACTCACGTGATGGGGGCAAGGCCAGGAGCAGGGCTGATGCACCCACACGGTGGTGCCTTGGTGCTCCCTGGCACCGCTTTCTCCGACTAACTCTCTCTCATGTTCCAGGGCTTCTCCTTGTAGCCTTACCCTCCAGCAGGGAGCCTGGACTGCAGCGATGCTGGC